GCTTTTTACCGTAGGAATTTCCGTTGGAATATGCAAATTCCGTTGGAATTTTTTTTTCACCCCCGTTGGAAAATCCACCGTCGGAATCGTCAAAATCCAACGGAAATTCCAATGGAAAACTCATTCCAACGGAATATTTTCATTGGAATTTCCGTTGGAATCCATTGAAAAATTCCAACGGATATAATAGTATTGAAATATCCGTTGAAATTGCTGTTGGAATAATTTTTTTGAAATAGATTTTCATTGGAATTTCATCATTTTCTTGTAGTGATAGTTAATGAGGAGCTGGGGGAATTCGTTGTGCAAGAGATTAAATTGGGCTAGCCTTTGGGCTAGACTTTACTAATCAAAAACCGTGAGTGGGACTCAATTGGTGGAATCTTTAAAGGCACAAGACATTGGCTTGGAGTAGGACTACACAACAACATTATTAGAGTAGGACTACACAACAACATTATTAGCGAGAGGATTGAGTGGGCGACGGGAATGAATTGCCAAAGGCGGAGAGAAGAAAAAGAGGACACGCACAGATAGAAAAAAAGCCACAGAGAAGAAAGCAGAAAACACACGGACAAGGAAGAAAGCTACACACGCGGAGGGAAGCCGCACTCGCACACTAGGGAGATCTTTGTTCTCTCTTTTATCTTTTTCTTTTTTATTTATTTTATTAGTATGTTAGGCTAGGATTTTTATCCAGTTTAAGGGAATGTTTGAACCCTAACTTTGATTTGTCTATGAATTGAAGGATCTTTATTTATCGTTGATTAATCTAGGCGTCGTATTTATTTTTGTTGGTGAGTTGATTCATGTTATCTATGTTTAATGTTTATAAATGATGGTGTTTGATTTAGTCTGGCCAGCTACGTTAAATATTCATAGTTTAAATGCTAGAGGCGAGTCTTTAATCTGTAATTGTTAATGTCTCGTTTCGTTAGTAGTAAACTAGGGGTCGTGCATCTCTAGGGTAGCGTGAACATAAGTTAAATGGTCCGAGCTTGTGCATCCATTGCTTAGACTGATCTATTTTCCTAGGAATTAATGTTGCTAGTGTATTAAATCTAGAGAGCTTATTCTAGGTTGTCCACTAGTTAGGTTTGGTCGAAGAGCCTATTTCGATTAAATATTCTGTAAGGGAATATTCGGTTAACAGAGCTTGTTGTTAGCTAGGGTCGGTAATTCATTAGCAATTTAAAGAAGGCGTTGAAATTGATTAACGGTAGATTTAGATTGGGTGATAACTGAACCAAAAACTGGACTTCTCTTATTTTATTTAATTTTTATTTATTTTATTATTTTTATTTTTATCAAATCAACCCCCCCCCTATTTACTCGCTTTCTTAGATTTAGTTCGATTAATAC